CGGGTCCGCCATGGCCGCCCGCAGCCCGGCGCCGCTCTCAGCCTAGGGCCGCATGGGCACCGACGCGCTGCGCAGGCGCCGCGCGGCGCACGCTGGGAGTCGCAGTCTTCCGCCCGGACTTGCAGACAGTTCCGCCCGGGAGGCCCGGGCTGAGGTGTGCTCTTTCCTGCGGGTCCTTCTTGCTCTTTTTTTTTTTTTTTTTTCTTCACTACTGGGGATTGAACCCAGGGCCTTTCCACTAAGCAGCGTCCCCATTCTTTTTTATTTTTTGTGACAAGGACTCACTAAATTGCTAAATTGGCTAGGCCGGACTCGAACGCGAGATCCTCCCGGCAGCCTCCCCAGAGTGCAGGGATGATATGCCTGCGCCACCGTGCCAGCTACTTCCAATCTTTTTTGCTGGTGGCCGGGATAGCCACGATTGCTGACAGCATCTCTGAATATAGGATTCGGGGGCCTTAATTGCTCCTCTCCATCCAAGCGCAGGGGCTGAAGCGCAAGGCTGGAGTCGCCCTTCTTGACCAGCCCCGCCCGTTTGCCCCGCAATGGCCCCGCCCTTGGAGGCTGGGGACAGAGAGCAGTCTCTGCGGTTGAGATTTATTTATTTATTTACTTGTCTTCTTGAGACAGGGTCTCGCTACGCAGTTCAGGCTGACCTTGAGCTCACTTTCTAGCCCAGGCTGGCCTCAAACTCACAGCAGTCCTCCTGCCGCAGCCTTCCGAGTGCTGAGATTACAGACGTGCGCCACCACCCCCGGCTTCTGCGGTTGAGATTTAAAGGCAGCACACCTGCTGGTGGGCGCGGTGGAGTGCGCCTGTCATCCTAGCGCTCTGGGAGGCTGAGGCAGGAGGCTTGCCAAACTTGAGCCCAGCCCTGACAACTTAGTGACTTAGGGAGTCTGAAAATAAAAAATTGAAAAGGCTGGAGAGGTAGCACAGTGCAAAGGCCCTGGGTTCAATCCCCAGCACGGGGAGGGGTTGTAGCAAACAGCCCGGTCCCTTGCTGGTGACTCGGTGTGCTGGCGTCGGGGCGCTGAGTCACACCCTCTGGTGCACCCTCCCTACACGAGGCGACGTCATCGGGGTTTATTGTCCTCGCAACAGGCGAGTAGAGCCCCGTCCGCTTCCGAGCTCTCGGACGCGGAGCCGAGCGGGTCGACGTCCTCCCTCCACGCCCCACGCCCGTGCGTTCTGGCCGCGCTCTGCGGTGGCACCGTCTCGCCTGGAAGGTGCGCGACCCGCGGTCCCCGACCCGCGCTCGCCTCCACCACCGCGCGAGTGGGCGGGGACTGCGCGGGGCCCCGCCTCCTGACGCCAGTGGCGCGCCTGTCCC